TGATGTGAAATACTCTTGCATTTTGTTCCAAATAATATTTCTGAACAAATAGTGAGTTATTAATGCCTTCATAAACTTTAGGCAGAAAATTAGGATTTTGGGACTTGTTTACAACTGTACCAGTGTTGAGGGAATATTCAAGGAAATATCATCATTAAAGCCACATACTCATTTTTTATTTGTTATTTAAATAAAATGACTCACAAAAGTGCATGTGTATCAATGACAAATATTATTATTTCAATTAATGCGTTGTCTACTTAAATATTTTTTTTATGATTAAAAGATGTTGCTTCATAACTCTATCAAAATAATGAGATAACAAGATTCAATAAATATATTAAACAATACAAAATAACATCAAATCGGATCAACCGAACATCAGAGGTGGGATCAGGTGCCATGGAACACAGCCTTTTTCATTTTTTTGTATTTCACAAAAAAATTTCAGTAATGGACTAACAATTAGTATGAAAAACGAGTCAGCATTTGACTCAATGATAAATTGTAATTGCTGACAAATCGTACTATTTCAAATGATGACTTTAAACGAGACTGCTGATATTCTTGTTTCATCAACTTGCTTGTCAATAATTTACCTCGTTTTAGAAATTGTACATTAGAGCACGCTCTTTAAAAACTGAGATATATATACTCCGTATGCAGGTGATGAAGGTATATTGCTGCATAAGTAAGGGAAGTTGACGATAGAAAAGTTAAAGTCATCACGTTTATCATAGAGCTTTGTTGTTAGATTACCATTAAGTCTTTTTCAAGTAAAATATCCAAGTATGAAACACATGTGTCAGACTTTGTGGTATCTTTTATCTCAAGCTCACCACAATATATCGTATCGACGTAGGAATGGAAATTACCATTGTTAATTGACAACTGATATAAAATGTCGATTTGAAGGCCACAGCAAGTGTTTTCTTCTTTTCAATAAGATGTTGCACAAATTCTGCTTCATATGAATATAAAATAGGTCTGCTAATAATAAAATTGGTACCCATGGGAAGGCAATTGTTGGAATACCTGGTCTCCAAAACCACATAGATATTGTCAATCAGAAACTCAAGCATCTCTTTGATGTCAACTTCAGAGTACTTGTGTGTGCAATCAGAATGTGTTTTAACAAAATAATTTTGTAAATGACCAATGACCAGGTAGGTAAATTCACGTGTTCCATTTTTATTGAAAAGGCAGCTGTCAATGATATTAAAAAGTCTGGACTTAAATTTATCGTCGGGAATGAAATAATGTGACAAGATTGAATGAAATATATTTAAATAACATAAATATCGGCTCAACCGAAATCAAAGACGAAAAGAACACAACTTTTTTAAAAATTATTTTTTCTATTTTTTTATTTTTTATTTATTTATTTATTTATTTATTTATTTTGCATTTCACAAAAAAATTTTAAATTTGGAACTCATAAAGGATACAAAGATCGACGTGCCGACTCTGTTTGGAAAATCGTATTTATTCACATATTCTAAAAGTGCATATTCTTAGATTTCATTTACTTCTTAGATATCTTTATCCTTTTTAAAAGTTGGCTTAAAAACTTTATCTTTAGGTCCCCCTACACATCATTTTTAAAAGGAATTTCTAACTGACTTTCTTCTGAGCTTTATTTATTTAGTTTTTTTTTTTTTTTTTTTTTGGTCTTCTTTACCCTTCCGCATTCAGCCATTTTTGGGATGTGGAAAGCATCTTACAAATGAAATATGAAGATAATGAATTATAATCAAGCTCAAACGTTCACTGTAGCAAAAGAAAATATGAGAGCAAGGCAAATATGAACCTTACAAAATAAAAAAAAAATAAGTAAGAATCCTATGTCAATTTGTTACCGTGTTCTCCTTCTCATGACCGAGCAAATGGACAATGGCATAGACAATTCAATGTGAAAATAATAGCCTTTCGACTTAACGATTTTTTTTTTTTTGCTGAAAAGATCATTGTATGAAGCCTAGATTTTAAAAAAAAAAGGTGACTTTAAACAAGAATGTTGACATCTTCAAATCATCAAATCGTATTTGTCAAAAGCTTGTTTCGTTTTAAATTTTATTTGTACATAGAGTTCTGTCAAATCGAAAAAAAAAAACTGGCATATATAAACTCCAAAATAAGTGATAATCATATATTGTTCAACAAAATAAGGGAATTTGACAATAGAAAAATTACTAAGTCAGATTTTGTATTGTCTTATTTCAAGTTCAAACGGTAAGATATTAAAGTTTTACTTTATAAATAAGTATGTAATAACATAAATATATATGATTGGGTATTCTTCATATACAAATACAAGTACATGACGTTATAATATAATAATTTGGGAGCATTTTTTAATTAAATGTAAATGTAAAGACATTTATGCTTCAAGTTAACTTAACAAACATTTGAGCTCAAATTCAATGCTTTTGTTTGGTGAGTTATATTGAGAAAAACTTGGGAGGCAGTCGTTGAAATTTACGACATACTTATTGCCAATCAGTAAATTATTACTTCTCTTCAGAAGATGTAACACATAGTAGTTCTTATTTTTGATATTATGAATGGAATCGGTAAATAAGTTTACTTGCACGAACTGAACAATTCAAAAATAGGTTTATTTATCAAATTAACCAATATATATCTTATAAAGAAGTTTAAATTATAATCGGAGAGCAAAATATATTTAATACTTGATAAGGACCTCAGATATATCAAAATCCCGAGTCAAAGATTGCATTAAAGTAAACTTTAATAATGAAAAAAAACTTACAACTAATATACAGCTCAACAAACTTTTTAAGCTCACATGGACAAATTAAGGTCACATTGTTAAATGTAATATTTGTGTGTTGGGACATCAAAATACAATTTAAAAGTATTTGTTTACATCAGTTGAGTTTTATTTTATTTACTAAAACATACTTCATACAAATCAATTGCTAGAACTTTAATATATTCTTGGCTGAAAAATAACAATTAGTTCTATTTGATTTTTTGTAATTTCTTGCCAATTGCAGCTGTCTTTTTATCCGTTCTTTTGAAACAGTAGCTCTTTTGAAATATGAAATCCAATGCTTTTGTATTTTCTGACATTATCTGAAAAACTTTAGCGCAGGGTGCAATCTGTTTGAAATTGTATGTTAATAAGGTGGCATTTTTCAGAGTCACCTTCTAAAAATCTAGAATCACGAAAGATTCATCCCACAGCAAAATTTTAACGTTAAACCTTAAATGCAGAAGAATTTTCGTTTTCATAGAAAAAATTTGCTATTAAAAAAAATAAACACACTGTAGTATGGTTTCTCTCCGCAATGTTATAATTTTTGATATTATGATTGGAATCGGTAAATAAGTTTACTTACACGAATTGAACAATTGTAAAATCTGTTTATTGATCAAATTAACCAATATACATTTTATAAACAAGTTTAAATCCACTTTCGGAGAGCAAAATATATTTAATACTTTTAAGGAAGGACAGATATATCAAAATGTATATGTAATATAAGATTGCATTAAAGTAAACTTTAATAATGAAAAAAAACTTACAACTAATATATAAATCTAATTCTGCATACACTAGTGTCATTCAAAAAGTTCATAAACTTTTTTCATAACTGTCTTTAACTTCATCTTATAACCAAATATGATTTTTTTTTAATTCAATAATGGATATACCCGGTACGAGAATGATCCTTTGGTGCATATATGAGAGTGTGCTGATTTATTCATCCATGAACCCCCCCCCAACCCACCCCCATTCAATCAAAAATAGATTTTACTGTGTTGTCTTATGTTCTATAGTGTTATTTCCAAAGTCTCGCATTCCTTCTCTCAGAAAAAATATCCACTAAAATACACAAGAGACACGTAATTAAGAGCAAACCTCGCTCTTTTATTGTTGAATAATATAATAATAATGTTTTAAAGGGCATGGACACAGTTTCAACTGAATTTTTCAAAACGAATTTTACTGTTTACAAATCCTAACTAAGGCAATTCAAATGATCAGCAAAAAATTGAACATCATTTGTTGATTTTCAAAAGAGATACAGAGCTTAAAACTTCAAATGTAAACAAGGCTCATGACTTGTTTTTGTTAACATATAGAAATATCTTACTTAGGTATAATAAAACACAGCAAATCGCTAGAAATTGTCTAATAGTATTACCTTCTTTATTGAAAAAATCTGCTTTGATGGAACATATATTAGTTTATTTAACCTATGTAAACAGAAAAATGGTATGGGCTTCTTTTACATAACAAAGGTTAAGAGCTCTAAATCTCTCTTGTATATCGACAACTGGAATTCATTCTTTTGATGATAATAAGAAAAACCTCAGTCAAATATTTGTAAACCAAAAAAAAAAAAAAAAAATGTGAAATTTTTAGCTGAAATTGTGTCCATGTCCCTGTATAGTCGAGTTAATACAGCCTTGGTGTGATATTCCCATTTAAAATTCTAGGTTGAGACTCAGCGATTTTAATTTAGCATAATGTTGTAATTAAAAAATTTTACAACAGTTGTATATACATATATTATATCATATTGCGATACAGTGTATAAAGTGATGAACTAGTTGATCAATTTCTGTATGCATGTAGAAAAATGAAATACAATGTACAGGAAAAAATCTTAAATACATAATGACGAAATGTGAACATTCATATCTATACAATTCTTTGTTAGAATGATAAATCATAAATTCAAAATACAATAATATAAAATATAACTCAGTAACAGACAGTAAGCTAGATGATCTTACTATCTATACATGGATGTATGAGTAATTTAACACTCCTCAACGATAATGATAAAATTACTATAATACAGAGTGTCCTTGATATATGATAAAAAGATATCCAAATACTTGAAAAATATTGCTTTTTACAAGAAAACGGCACCTTAAAATAATTCTCATAGGGAAGTAAGATGATGAAAAACAAGAATACTTTTAGTATAAAATAAAAATAATTAGCGGAATAATTTCTTTTTCATTAATTTTGATATTCTGTGTAAATCACACAAGCAGCCTACTTCCATCCATAAGAAGACGGACCAAACTGGTATATAAGGCGTTTACCAATTACAGGCAATAAGACCTTTGTCTTGTAATAATATCTGAAAAAATATCAACAAGCTTGGTTATAATGTAAAACGGCCAATAACTCGTTCACAAGTTCACTTTTATGTCAAACTGGAGTTACATACCTTAAAGCTCTACTAAGTTTTTCATATGTCATGCCTTCGTTGTTTTTCTTTTTTCCCCACATTTTGGCAATTTCTTTGGTTTTGACCACACGAAATTCACCTTCATCCTTATTTGACCAAGCGATGATATCTGGATTATATCGTGGGTTACAAAGAAGGTCGCGTATGAATTCCCAAAGACGACAATTTGTTTGTTCTGGAATTATAGGATATATTGCAGATCTTCAACAACGCATAGAAACAATAATTTCATTTTGTATTAATCAACATGTAAACACATGTAGCATATCTTTTCGACATTATGTTTATGTATTCTATATTATTTCATATTTAATATTATTTAAAAAAAGAACGCCTGAACATTTATAAAAGAACGGACCTTTACCAGGTAAGGGGGCTTTCTTTTTCCTGTTTGCCTTTCTTTTTAACACCAGATCATCTGAAATATATTAAATATCTAGATATCAATTTGGGAATATTGTAATAATATAATTTAGTTACCCTTTAATTAAAGTCGAAATCTTGTATCTTTTTACCAGAAAAAAACCCATAAATTATGGGTTTCAATGTTGTCGATATCATTTTGAAAGGGTTGCAGGAGAGGGTCATAAATTTAACTTTTAACAATAGACTGATCAAAGTTCAGTACTCATATACAAGATTGCAATTTTAGAAATTAAAATTTCAGCATGCAACTAGAAAACCGATTAAAACCCATTAAAAATCCTAGCTAAAGGTGCTTCAGCGTTCTCTTTTTACTATCATATAATTTTCTTAAAATGAAGTGTGAACTGTCAGTAATGTTTTCAATAATGCTTAATTTGTTTTAGAAATGTTTAAGCAGTAAAATGTGATCTAAAGGTTGAGCACCATAAATATAGAGATCCTCCATGGTGGCTTCGAAGTCCAGACCTGTGTCTACAGGGTACACTAGACCATTCATTTCTACTATAACCCCACTGTCGTTATTATATTGTACTTTCAAGTCGAGATCCTCAAACTTCTGCATTTCTAATCTGTCAATTTGGTTCAGATTTTCTGAAAGAAAACAAGCAAAGGTTATTATTTCTTCTTTACTTTGCTGCAGAAAGTACAAAACACAGGTTACACACACTCTATTATTTAAAAAAAGCGAGCTATAATAGGAAAGACCAACTGCAGTTGTTCTTTATTGCACAGAAACATCAAAATGAAAGTCAAAGTACTGTCAGAGATTAATAATCAAATGTTTCCAAAAAAGAAAATTAATGGGTCTTTAAAACAAATTCATATATAGTTTTTGTGTGGTCCTCCCACAACTGCTTTTAATGCAGTTGACAGGTAACATAAATGCCAATTCTTTTTTTCTATATGTCTAGAAAAATATTTGTTTGATGTCCAGTATGCATTAATGCAAATGAAATTTACAAGGAAACATTATCCGTGTTATATGGCTGACGATACCTTCTGGTGTCTGTCGCACGTGGGAGGTGATGTCATTCACGCCAGAAAAGGCCTTACTCTCATTGTGTTCATTCATAGTCATCGGTAGTTCTCTGTTGGGATCTGAATGTTAATGTCATGTTACGTCTGAGAAACATGCTGGTATGTTAGCAAGGCTGCTAGACGTTATGGTAACATTCATTGATAAGGAAACTGTGCTATGTACTTTAAAATTTTAATTACTTGTCCCATTTTTCATTAAGTTGGTCAAATTTTGTGTTTAGTTTGCAAGGTACAAGCTGACATATACTTTTAGGTCATAAAAACGATAACATGGATTACTCTTATTCTTTTTAATGATATTTTTAAATGGGTTGTTTTAAAAATTAAAATGAGGTCATATAAAAAAATGTACTTACATAATGTCTTTATAGTATTGACTTCTGTCTCACAGATTCTCTTGAGTTGATATGCATTCTCGTTCATTGACATTTTCTATTTTATCAACAACGATAATACTTTTAAGGTGAATTTCGAACAACGTCAACTGATAAGATTTTCTTGGAATTAATTTTCTTTAAAATTTTCTTGGAATTAATTTTCTTTAAGATTTCATGAAGTAAATATGAAAAAAGGCATGGATAATATATAGTTGCTTGATATTCTATGGTTTCTTTTAATTTAAGTTGCCCAATTTCTTTTGTTTTTATTTTTATTTTTTATGAGGCTTTGGCTAGGAAAATTATTTTGTTCCCCTACAAGAAATTTGAAAGAGTCCTACCACATGTTTTGCTAATTATACAAAATCATTGTATTTCAATATGTTTAGCGATCTGATATTTTTAATAGTTTTAATTTTAATTTATTTCAATGTTTACTTTTAATGTAGCATTGTCATAATTAACTAGTCATCATTACAGTTAAATACAACTGAAGTATGATTATTTTAATAGTACTTACGGTCAGATATCCTTTACCGACAAAAGTTAAACTGTTTCTCTTCAAATCCAGGGTGGCGACTTGCTTTTCTTCAGCTCTTAATGATATGCGATACTCTTGAATTGCGGGAATATTTTCTGAGTCTCTTTTCTCGGAAAAATCAACATGCCTTTGACCAAAAACAATGTCACTAGTGTATTCAACTCCACCCTTATCAGATGGTTGTTAAAACAACCGATTATTGTTATTTCTGCATATCAAAGGGGGAAGGGAGGGTGTCCACTTTCAGTTGTTTGTTGCTTTCATCTTCATCATTCATAGTAAAGTGCACTGTTTTAATTCATGTTAAACATAACGGTATCAATTCTGCATTTTTTGGTTAACATCTTTGTGAAGTATGGAAAAATTGAATAATTTTTAAGTAAAATGCTAGAAAATTCTAATACTTTCAAATCTACACTGGTTGTAAATAAAATGATTGTTCTTCACATTATGTTACTACAGTCGATTTGTACATGAATTTTAGTTTGTTTCTTTTGTATGAAACATCATCATCTTGTCGCAATGACAAGGAATAAAGCAGATGAATGAAAGATTCCTATTATACATGGTTTATTTTTTCCTTACGATTGCAACATACTTAGTAAGGGCAATTGACGATTGAAAAGCCGTAACGTTTATCTTAAACTTTTGTTGTTTTACAACCATTATTCTCATTTTCTCGTAAAAATCCAAATATGAAATAGATGTGTCAGAGTCTGTGGTATCTTTTATTTCAAGCTCACTCGCATATATTAGGTTCTCGTAAGAATGGAAGTAACTATGGTTAGTTAATAATACGTCGTCGATATATTAAAATCTCGAATTGAAGACTACAGCAATGTTTTCCTCTTCTCATGTATACAATTTTGAATAAACTCTACACAAAGAAGTCTACTATTAACTGACGCACCGTGTACCGATGGGAATTCTGAAAGTGTGTCGGAAAACCTGGTTTCCAAAATCTACATAGATGGGCATTAACAATCAGAAATTCAATATTTTTTAATATCAATCTCAGAATACCTGTGTGTGTACAATTAAAATGTTTTGTTAAAAAATCAAATGACCAATGTCACAAGGTAAGCAATTTACGAGTTCCATTTTTATTGAAAGCGCAGCTGTCAACAGTGTCAAAAAAGGTCTTGGCTTTTATTTATTGGGGGATTATTGTATATAGAGTTGAAAAGTCGTATTTATAATGTTATTGATTTTGAATAAACATTTTGCATGTCAAATTGTCCAAAGGTTCCTTGGAATTTATAAGTATCCACATCTGATTTACACAACTTCTCGAATATATTCTTGCACAGTACTCTGTAGATGTTAATATTTCAGTTAGGAGTTAAGAAAGGGGCTTGGTAGAACATTTACACTATGTATCTTCGTTTTTAAGGTTTTTCCATAAAGTTTCGGAATCCAGCACATGTATAACTATTCAAACTCATTTTAAAAATTGAAATTAAAATATAATACATTGACATATAATTTTGAAGAATTTCCTCCTTAGAAAGGGAGCAATGGGTATAAGTTAGATTACTACTTGTAGAATCAAATGCCAATTCCTTTAAAATACAGTTAGAATAATTAGCCGTTCCAAATAAATACAACTTATATTATAATATAAACAACAATAAAATTAAACTACGGGTTTTTCCGTTTACCTGGTCAATGAAGAGGGCCTATTTCAGCGGGTGAAAATATTCGACACAGGATGCTTTCTTCTCCTATGCATCTGATTCTACCTCTAGTGTTTCTATTCTGTTTGTATTGTTACAGAATTAATAAGATTGATCACAGACTTTCATCATTTTTTTTATCTTCCCAAACTAATACTTGGATTTTTTCTAAATGGATACTTGGTTCAAGAATATACGCATTGTAAATGTTAAGCCAAACTTTCACACGAAGTGTAAAAAAAAAAAATAGACCACTTAAATAATGCAGTTCCAGATTCATTTATTTTGTTTCCATTTACATGAAATGACTGCCTCACAGATCCAGAATTCAAAGTTCAAAATAGAATCTTTGTCAAATGAATTTCTTTCATTATATTTTAATATTATTCATTCATTTCACTTTCTCTTTATCAGAATTTCAATAAGTAGTGTCTGTTTTAACAAATCATTAATTTCTTTAATACAATGCTATCAGCATTTCTTCAATTCATTTTCCTTTATAATAAAAGTGAGCCTTAATGCATAAAATTTATATCAGTTAATCCAGCTTTATCGGAGAACAATTCGATTTTCGGATATTCACTTGTAGGATACGACACTTATTGGATACCAGCCGTACTGTTTGGAGGACAGCTTACTTTCACGTGTCCATCCATATGCGAATCCGTCCTCGTTTTCCCCAATCTTCTGCTTGACGACTTGCCCTGTTTAATCAGAGATGTGTATAAAAATGGTATAAAAATAAGATGAGGTTTGTTTCCCAATCTTTTGCAAGATGTATTGTCCTGTTTATTATCGGAAAGATTATTTAATTGTAAAATTATTTTCATTCATTTCGATGACGATGATTTTTTTATGAACTGATTGCCTCTTTCTTAGTTAATATGCAATTCTCACCGTTTGTGTGTTATTGTATTATAATGTTAGGGAAAAGTACATGGACAGCGAAATTGGTCCATGACATGCATATTAACAAAAACATACAAAAGATAATTAATGCTTTAATTATAAAGATCGTGTGGAAGACAAGATCAATCAATCAAATGTTTCCATTTCAAAAGAAAACATTTTTTTCCGAAATACAAAATAAGGCTAAATGCACTTTCTAAGCGAATAATAATTGCACATACTCCGCATTTGGCCAACATCAGAAGCACTTTAACAACGCACTTTTCCTGTCTGTAATGACATTTCATGATTACTTGACATGTCTTAGTCTGCCAGACAAACATTGGAATCAATAAAGATTAAGCTTGTAACTTGCATTTAAATTTATGATTTGTTTTTAATTTTGATTTGTTGTGTAACGTTTTATGTTTTGATTTGGTTTGTAGTGTTTATGTTTAGCTTTTAATTTTGATTTGTTTTGTAGTGTTTATGTTTTGCTTTTAATTTTGATTTGTTTTGTAGTGTTTATGTTTTGCTTTTAATTTTGATTTGTTTTGTAGTGTTTTATGCCCCCGTAATCGGATATTCGGGGTATAAAGTTTTTGCCATGTCCGTCCGTCTGTCTTTTTGTCCGCAAAATCTTCAACTTTGCCCATAACTTAAGAGTGGATGGGGCTATTTTTTTTTTTTTTTTTTTTAGTGTTTTATGTTTTGTTTTTTTTTGTTTTTTTGTTTTGTTTTTTTTTTAATTCAAACAATATTTTATTATGAATAAACATAATTGGATTGGACAGCAGGCACTGCCTATATAAGTCCTTTCCACAATACAAGGTCAAAATCATACATGTACAAGTAAACATTAATATAACATTGAAAAATATAAATATATACATGCATATATTCAGTAGAAATGTATATGACAAGGCAAATTAAGGAGAACAAAAAAAAGAGAAATATATGAGCTGATAATATAATTTAAATTTATATTTTAACATATATGACTGACAATTATATTAATAATTGTATAAATTTCAAAAAATGAATAAGAAAACATAAATAGGTTTTGGTTCTGTGATTTGACAATTGAAAAACAAAAGAAGATAGAATATCATGCAAATCGCTTTTTAGTTGCAATAAATTCTTGAACAAGTTTAAATATTGCAATATTTTGGTTGTATGTAAGATTATTGTCTCCATTTAGAATAAGTTGTAAACATAAAGGCATTGGTAATTGCAAAGTATTAAAGTTTTGTATTAGGTTCTGTCTTTGCATACAGTAAAAATTTTGGACAATTCATAAAATAGTGATATGATGTTTCTGAACTAAACCCGCACATGTCACAACTTTTATCTTCCTTTAAAAAATGATTAAATAAGTCATCATTTAAATTACTAGCATTATTTCGCAATTGACAATGCAATATATTCATTTTACGACTTCCATAATTGTAATATTTCTTAGGTTTATGCAGTATATATTCTTTATGGCAGTCTTGAATGATGTAAGTGAAGAAAGGTTTCGGATATTAAATGGTAAATCATTCCAAAGTCTTATAGTTGAAGGGAGGAAACTTTTCATAAATGAAGTTGTTTTGGCTTGTGGAATATGAAATGTAAGATTGACCTGATTCCTTAAGGGATAAGAATTATCTGGAAGAATGCATTGTTGTAATAAATCTTGCAAATACTGGGGTGCTAATCCATACACTATTTTATAAAATAACACTAGTTTATGTATTTTTCTTCTTATTTCAAGAGTATTCCAGCCAAGCTCTTCATAAAGCTTTGATCTTGATGAATTGATTCTTAAACCGGTTATTATTCGTGCAGCTGCAACTTGAACATCTTCAAGTAATTTTGCATCTCTTTCAGTACAATTATCCCATATAATATCTGAATATTCAAGAACAGGACGAATAAAAGCAAAATATATTTTTATCAAAGCATCGATCCCTCTTAAGTGTGTGTTTTAACATTCTTAAGATATTTAAGCGATTACATGCTTTAGCATGAATATCAAGTATGTGGGATCTCCAATTACCATCTTGTTGAAATCTTATTCCTAAATCAGTATGTGGTTCAACATTTTTAATAGTGGGTCCATCTTCACCAAACTTAATTTTTGGATGGCAAATATTTTTCCTGCTAAAATCTAGATTGATTGTTTTACAAGGATTGAATTCTACTGCCCATATATTAGACCACTGTCTTATTTGTCCAAGATCCTTAGTTAATAAGTTTGCAGAATTAATAATATCATCATCAACTATGACATAAAGGGAGGTGTCATCTGCAAAAAGCCTTACAGGACATGATAATTTTTCAGATATGTCATTAATATACAATAAGAATAAAAAGGGACCAAGGACTGACCCTTGAGGGACACCTGAATTGGTAGCTCTAGTAGTTGATGAAAAGCCATCAAGAACTATTTTTTGAGTTCTATCAGACAAGTAATTCTCAATCCAATTAACAATTTGTTCTGATATACCATAGTATTTTAGTTTATAAAGGATACCTTTATGCCACACTCTATCAAATGCTTTTGAAATGTCACAAAAGACAAATCTAATATCTTTACCTTTATCAAGACTAGATATTATTGTGTGATATGTTTCTAGTAACTGATTAGTTGTGGAATCACCTGGTTGAAATCCAGATTGAAATTTATTAATTAAATTATTTTAAAGACAATAATTATACAAGTGCTTGAATATGATTTTTCTAAGATTTTACATACAACTGAGGTTATTGATATTGGCCGATAATTATCAACATCTTGTGCACTTCCTTTATTCTTATAGATGGGAGTAATTTGTGAATTTTTCCAAATGTCTGGAAGTTGCCCAACAGTAAGTGAATAATTGTATAGTTTGGTAAGTGGTTTTACTATCGAGTTAGTTATATTTTTAAGAATCAAAGGTGACATACAGTCAGGACCTTGAGGTTTAGTAACATTTATAACTTGGAGCTGATCCAATACTTCCTGTTCTGTGATAACAAAATCATCAAGTGAAAAGTTCAATGGTGGTCCCGGTCCGTGTAATGGTACCTCAGGTTCATTTTAATTTTGATTTGTTTTGTAGTGTTTTATGTTTTGTTTTTAATTTTGATTTGTTTTGTAGTGTTTTATGCCCCCGTAATCAGATATTCGGGGTATAAAGTTTTTGCCCTGTCCGTCCGTCTGTCTTTTTGTCCGCAAAATCTTCAACCTTGCCCATAACTTAAGAGTGGATGGGGCTATTTCTTTTATATTTCACAGGTGTTTTCCTTATGACAAGACTTTTCTTTGAGTACCAGCAAATTTGACCTCTTGATCTTGAACTTTGACTCACTTTCACAAAAAAGCCACCAAACTTTAATCTTGGTTTTAGTATATCAACAATTAACTGATTGTTGTTTCTGTAAAACGTGTTCTGGATTAGATTTTTTGACATAAAGGCTCTAAAGTCAAGTCAATTACTAAAACATTATTTCCTTGAAAATATAGTACAACTTGAAACTTTAACCCCCTATAAAAAGAAAGGGAAATACTTGCAAAAGGTAGTGATCATTGCATCAGTTTTGGCAGACAATTATATGCCAACAACATTAATTGTAGCTCTTATGGCTTCAAATCTCCTTTTATCTATGTATTTAACAAAATAAGCATTATATTTTTTCTGTCAACCTTGAGTGATTCAATATTCTCTAAATTTTGGCAGATATACTATATTCCATCTCAAATGCTACATGTACCTCGCACTATCCAATCGCTTCCTGAATATTCAAGAGAAAGACTGCGATTTGTAATAATCGCATTACCATTTTTTAAATTGATTTTTGTAAAGGTTATTTGCATGGACTTCTTAGAAGCGTCCTCAGACAGTTTTTGCTTACAATATGTATGGACATGTAAATGAGGAGAAGTTGGCAACTTTTTTTAAAAAAATGACACCCTAAAAATAATTTTTGTTATTTTTTTTCATTTCATTACTTATATTTACCTTTCTTTAGATTGAGTTCGTTAATGGTCCGAGCTTTATAATTCCTGTTGGCAATAACCCGGATGTTTCTCAATGTCCCGATATCACCATCTACCAGAGTTGGCATCATACTCTCTGGCTGATCAACATTCAGCCTGGAGTATAGACGGACATTTTTTGAATCTGTAAAATGTTTAAATTCATCAGGATATTTTGTGGAATCATAACGATATCTTGTAGGGGTTAGAACTAACAGCTTTTTTTAGTAAAAAGTAGATATCTTTAATCTTTTAGTATTAATCTTTTTGTAAAACAAGCAAAAAAAAAAAAAAATTTTGTTTATAAAAAAGATCTTTCAAATCAATCATTACACTAATCACATCAAACCGAATGTACCAAATTCCACGACATGATTTCTGGAGGAGGATGGATCTTCAAACCCCTCATCTTCATCATCATCGCAATCGTTGCCAAATTTTGATTTGGTGATATATTCATCGCTTCTTTCGTCGCTCTCATCATTGCTGTATACTTCAGACAAGTCCTCCTCGTCGCTTCTAAGCAGACTGACTTCCTCAATGCTTTTGCTGGGTCCCGGAGCTTCCTTACGAACACAAAATGGCTTCACAGTGAATGGGGTAGGGAGTCGACATCGTGTGTCGTCTTTAACTAGCTGAATCGTTTCTAGTTCAAGATTTGATTCCTCTGGGGAAATCTCTTTGAACACAGGAATGATAGAAGATTACGTGCTGAGGACATTTTCAACGGAACATAACTAGCAGAATACATACTGATATGACTTTTTAAAAAAAATGAAAAGACTCTCTTTAATCTAATTATGTTGATAAATATTAACAAACCTCTAAAACATTTCAATAAAAGCTTATGATGTTAGTATTCCTCATTTCGAAAATATTGAATTCAGTCAGCCTTTTTTCGAGGTCAAATTAAATAAATAAAATATGATAATAGATCTAAATCTAGATATCTGGACATAATGATGTTTTGCCCAACCTGACACCAGCAAAGAGGGTTTCTTCATGACAGGTGTTTTATTCGGTGTCGTGTTAGATTTAGAGGGACATGAAGAAACGCTCTGAGCTGACTGAACGTTCGCTGCTCTATGAGGCTGATCCTCTTCTAGCCCCTCTAGGTCTTCATCGGATACGGAACCTCGCAATGGCGTATCTCCTCTAATGGCTTGCACTCTGTCGATGATATTTTTTTCTTTGATTTATTTAAATAAGCTGATCATGAAAAAATTAACCAGATTCCATTTTCATTTAATAACAATATCAGTTTCGTGTTTGGAATCTGGTCAAAATAATATAGCTATATCTCTTGAAGGCTCTTACTACAGTAAGTACGGAGTGGAGGCACAGAATTTTGAAAAACGCCAAAGAAGGTGTTTAGAAACCACTAAACTTATAGACAATAAACACTTTAGCTTAATATAGCCATGACATGGGAAAATTCAATTCTCTCTCTCTCTCTAATTTTTCCTCCAATTTCTCATTTGGAAATATAAGTGTCTAAAATGCTTATAATACAATCAACGAAACGATTCATTTCCGTATGAAAATGCACGTCTTCACTGTTTGGATTTGACAATATTAGCACTTAGTCTTATTCAATTGTATTTTATAATCCTATACCTGTCCCTCGCTTCCTTTCCTTGTTCGGTGAGGTCCAGATCCTGAGTTCGTAATGATGGATTGGTCACCAGAAACATCTACAGAACCATAATCAATGGGTTACATCATACCGTATAAAAGGCTTAACAATGATAGCATTTTCCTGTTTTAACTTTATATTACGGATCAGACTGAAGTTTGATTGAATCTAGGAAAGGAATTAAGATCTAGGAAGATGGTCCTTTATACACTTTATAATAAAAATTAATGTTTTTGACATTGGAAAGAAGATGGGGGATAAGGCGGATGAAGTGCCTATAGTCCGACAGGCATGAAGTAATTCCATCTTACATGTATATTCCACGGATTCCATCTCATATATTTATAAAAGAATAATTTTTCAGAGATTTTTTCTCTCATAAAAGATTTGTTTCTCATAATTTTAAGAATTTCAATAATGAGAACTTAATTCAAATATTAAATTTACATAATGAATATGATTTCTTAATATATATAAAGCTATAGGCATTCTGCACGCCTTGCTCCCCATCTTCTTTCATATGTTATGTTAAATATTAATCTATTTCTCGATTTTATGAACAATTAAAACTGCTGTTGTATATTGAAATAGGAAAGATTCATGCAAATAAGGTGTTCAGTTAATATTTATCCACCTTGACCTCATAAATCTTAGTGGTATTGGTTACAAATTGCTCAAAACACAGTAATTTTTTGTACCCATAAGGACAAATCAGCCTAACTGAAAAATACCCCAGAATTAGAATTCTTTAATGTGTACTATACATGTACATAGAGGGTCCTTAAAGGTAGAAAAATGTGTACAGTGTATTACGTTATATACATAAAAGGTAATTTACATACATCGAAGCCCATCACGAGCCCCGCTTTCTTGAGTCTTGCTTTGTTCTCTGTCCTATCCCAGTTGTGATTGTGAATTTCCTCAATATCTACGGTTTGCAGGTTCTTTGATATTTTGGAGACCTCTTTAATACTGTAAACAAAATTGTAGAAAAACAGATTAAAAAAGGATACGTTGTCACTAGAAATTAAAAATAATTAATTCGAATTTGTAAAACGGTACATAACTTAAGAAATTTTACAATGTTGAAGATAGAAAAAAAGGGTTCGTATTCAATACACCAACCTTTCACGGATTGCATCACTTGATGGGATGATCTCTGTGACGTACTGCATGATAACTTTATGAATTACAGTAAGCCTTCCTTTGTCCAACTCTTTGAGCTCTTGAAACATTTTCTTAAGAGTCTGGGGAAGAGTTATGCATGCTTTATTTTAAATCTCAAACAAAAGAAATTAAATGGAACAAAACAAATACATGACTGTCACATAAGATGTATTGATAATATTTATTGGAGATGCATTTTCATCATGGTTTAATTACTTTTCAGACTTAGTATTAACCTTCCTTTTGCTGCCTATGAGGTCCTGAAGCTCTGCCTCGTCTTTCTTGCAGGATGCAGTTGAAGTCTCGATGCGTTTTCGTAATTGAGACACCTGGGCATTGATGGAATCTAGTTTGCGCATGCCCCTGGCTGAACGCCTTCCATCTGTGAGTCTGCTTCGTTTGGACAATTTTTGTTCCAATCCATCTAAACGGAGTTTCATGCTGTCTACAGACTACACAGTAGAAGTTTGAAATAACATTTATTCTCAACATCTTATTAGAATTTTAACTGATTTTTGATATTGAATGACATGGATTACTTTTTGAGACATTATATACTTACCTGAGTTTGTTTTTTAACATTATGTTCCAGTTCACTACGCCTCCTGTTGAATGAATTAAATTCCTCCTCTATTGCCTTCAGCCTCGTTCTTTTACTAGTTTCCTGCTCCATTCTAGTGTGTCTATAAAAAATCGAAAAAGTAAGTTTCCAGACCCCACCAAAAATGATAATAAATTAACTTTTTAAAAAGTAGGAATACATGAAATGCGCAATTTCTAGAATTTCTACATATTTTGTAAATAAATAGCATGTACATATTGTAAACAATTTCCAACTGGTAGAACACCATACTGTATTTAAATATGCATTTATACTGTTGAGGAAACCAACAAACCGCACTTTTTTGAAAGATTTTTTACTGGTCATGGAATTAGATTCAGTACAATTCACTGTCTCCTTGGACACTCAGTAATGCGTGGCATTCTCGGCGCTACGTAATTAGCGTTTATCAAATGGTGAATTGATTCTCATTGGTTAAGAAATGAATAACATCAGGAGTTTTAAATTGTTGTTGACAACGAAAAGACGACTGAAGCCCACCTCTTTGCCTTACGAGAAATGATATTTCATACACTCGTTGATATTCGCCCAAAATTCTATCCGATGTATATTTCAACAGTGAAAGAAAGCTGTGTAAATTTCAGACGCTAATTATGTACCGTCGAGAATATCACGCCTTATATTATTGAAAGTCCAAGGATAACTGAGAATTGTGCTATATAAAGCTTCTTAATGTAACCATCGGACTCACTTGATAATGTTTTGATAAGGGCCTGTTTTTGACATCAGTTTGTTATAGATGTCCCTGTGGATCTCAGCGGCTCGGTCCGCCTCTCCAGTCAGGGCCGGCTTAACGAAATCAAGGAGGCCTTTGCCGTCAGACTCATCTAAAAGTAAACAGAAAATCAAAGAGACGTCACTTTCATAAGAGAAATGAGATGCGCAAAAATCAGACAGTCTGAAAGGAAACGAAGAAAATTGACCCTGTAATAAAGCATTCTTAGAAATACAATAGGGGAAACATATTCTTTTTTAAGGAATCAGCTGTCTTTTTAACATTATTACAATGTATTCCTGTTCAAAAAAGTAAGGAGGGGGTTCAAAATCAATTTTACAGAAATTTTACAACTGAAGTACATTTTTCCTAACAATAGACCGGATGCACTAAAAAACAATTTAAGAATTGATTTCTCTTCTCTCTCTTTAACCCCCCCCCCCTTCCTTCCGTCTGTACTTTCGTCCGTCTGTTACGCTTAGGGGTACCCATCTGTTTTGTTTTGTGTGTGTGTGTGTTTTTTTTGTTTTTTGTTTTTTTTTGGGAGGGGGGGGGGGTAACTTATAATGTACTGATTGTCAAATTACCTCTAGATTCTTCACTTTGGACTTTGTCTTTCCAGCTTTCGATTTCTTGCAGATATGTTAATTCTGCGTGTGCGCGGTTCCAGATCATCAATCCTATAGAATCCTGAAGTCTACAGATTAATTAATCATTTGTCTCAAAAAATAAACAATTCATAAAATATGATTCTGAAGAATATATCGATAAGTTTTATACTTTGAAAGCAATCAGATGTAGTTCGAAATGTGAAGAAGTGACTACATGTAATCGCTTACAAAAGTACAAAATCCATTGATATTCTTCAGCAACATATATACCATCATGAATGATATCCATAATAATTGTACATTTATTATAGCAATTTTATAAAATTTTGTATAGGGAGAAGACTATCTAAGTTGTTGTAGAACTTGTGTCTTATCCTTTTGGCTTTGTCAATAAAATATGTTCAATTCTTATACATACGCTACTTCCAGGGACTTTTCTAGTTCCTCAAAATGATTTCATGCTCACTCAAAGAAATAAACCTTTGAACTCCAGATTTATAGACTTTATTTTACTTACCGTATGGACTCTTTATTCCTTTTAATACCCTCCTGTACTAAGTAAAATTCAGTTGTATCAACCATAGTTTACTGTGGTTACGATCTAACATTGATTTGAGGTTTGTTTGAAGTTTAACTGTGACGTTACAATGTCTATGACGTCACATTACAAACTTGTAGATCGCAGGTTTGCTGACGTCACAATATGATTTTACGTACAAATCTTACCGTGTTTATGTTCTATATTAGTATGAAAATTGCAAAGTTTCAAAGTTTTTTGTAAGAAATTGAGCGAGAACACCTTTTTTCAAATACGCAGTAGATCGATTCTAAATCTACTTCACATTTATTGTGTTGAATAATATAAAATTCGTCTGCTTCATTTTGATTTTACAAGCATGGTTTTGAATACTCCTACAAGTAAGAGCCTCGGTTAACGTCCCTTATATACCTCGGAGCCAAGTCAAAAGTATCTCGCCGTGAACATCTAGCATGCTGGAGTAGGTTTTGAAATGCGTATACTGAGGTGAATGGCGCATTTTACTTTATATTTAAATAAAATAGCGTCATCTGTTTGCAACAACATTAGTGTATTTGAAATACGATTGAAATTTAACCACGCAGACGAATCTTAAAAAAAAATTTCAGAAAGAACATTTTGAAACGAGAGAATTTAGCTGACAATTTTTCAGACTGTTTTCAATGCGTACATTGTTCATTCCTACGTGTATTCTTATACAAATGTTTTGAAAATTCGTTGAATTTAGGAAATTGTTTAAATTCTTTTTTGGTGTATGGATATGCTTTGTAGGCCTTCACAGCGACCTAGAGGTCTTTCTTTTTTTGTTGTTGTTGCAACAATTCTAGCTTTTAAAAGAAAATAAACAAAAAATTAAAAATAAAAGTCCATCAACTCTCAACCAACCACGAAATATTCTTTCAATAACTATTTTATTTGGTGTGTTTGAGAGTATTTTGACGTGTTCTTCTGCAAATTTGTCTTCTTTTTTTATAGAAAAAATCATGGTCGGGTTCGGTGTTCGGTATTCAACTTTCATTTTATCATGTTTGATCATGTGATCGGCATAGATCAGAGGTAAACAAATCAAGGCGGTACTCGGTGTTTTAACCGTATCCCCCGCTAAGTACTAGTAAGTAACTAAATTACATCTTTGGGTAACTGTAGTCCCCTTTTTAAATCAAACCCATGCCTCTACTATTCATTATAGGGTTCAATCCAGTGTGCTTTAAAGTCATGTTTTTTTTCTGCTTGATTTTTTTTTAGTTTCAAAGCTAGCATTTTCAATTATTATTTAAATATTTTTATGTCAATTATCTTTTAAGATGGATATGAAGAAAAAACATTAGAGCAGCTTGAAGTGAAGTTTTATCTGCATTAGCTTTACATGTGTGTTAATTATCTTTTAAGATGTTTATGAAGAAAAACATTAGGACAGTTTGACCTAGAGACTATGGAATTTTCACTTAGAAATTGGGTAAGTTATGAAGTGTAAAAATGAAGACTAGTATAATTAAATTAAAATGTCATTAATTAGTTTAAGACAAATTTCTAAAACATATGTGTATATAGCTTGCAATACTTTATTTTATTTTTTTTATCTGCAGTATTGTATTATTTTTTATTTAACCTTTTAATTTCATATTTTTATATCTCTCAGATATCTAAAAACATTCAAAAGAAACAATTTTGAAAAGATTTAAAATGGAACAAAAATGTTCTTTTTGAAAGGGGGAACAATTATGTTAAACAGATTGATTTTATCTGATTTCTGCCTCAAACAGTCAAGCAAACATTTTCTTTTATTTACTTTGTGTTTTTGGTCTTTATTTAAAATGATTATGTCTGGACATAAATTCATTTGAGGCATATACAACAGATTCTAAACCATATAAATACTAAATCAAGATATATAACTATATAATGGCATGATAATTCTTTCCACACAGATTGGACTTTTCCTCCTTGGGTCAATCAATAACTTACCCTATGTCATAGTCACCTCTGCTGCAAAAACCATTGCTGACAGGTTCGTATTGGGGAATTTCCTATTTCACTATGTACATGTACATCGCAATAGGATTTTAAAAAGGTTTTATAGATATGTTTTATTTGCTTAAAATCAATCCTTTCAAAAACCATTCTGAATAGCTTGCTCCTTTTTAAGCAACCATTCTGCAAACTGAGGTTATGTTAACTGTACTTTGTCATACCCACTCATCTTCTGTATTAAGTTAAAAAAAACTATCATATGATGAGAGTCAAATTTGAAGATATGTATTCTGTCATTTTGCTTATTTAGAAAAATTAGACAATGTAACAGGGGTTAATAAATGTTCGATATTGGTCTAAAAATAACTTTCAGAAGGAAAAAATACATCTGTAACACCAGTTTTTTTGTAGATGTTCAGATATTAGCATTAAAAAAACATGTTGATCAATACAAATGTCATAATATCACCAAAGCATTCCAGTTTCGACATATGGCCCTGCTGTACAACCATTTCTTTTTATATGTGATGATTGAAACCTGTTTTCAATTTTCACTCCTCTTTCAAAATGTTCTTTATTAAAAATCTAGTACATACAAGGTACTGATTATATCACTTTTATCAAATACTGTAAACATATTACATGTATATTTTGCTGTGTATTAGCAACTGCTAAATCAAGTTTATGGCTAAATGTCTTGCTTGTATACACATGAATAAGAATATGAAAAAATGCGCTAAATCAAATCTTTGCTAACTTATTCAAAAGTCAATTTCCGCCAAATATCGTACACGCTAAATATAATACATCTGTAGTAGATTATTCTAAAAAGTTTATCAGGATTAATAATATAATCAAGCATGATTTATTATACAGCTTTAATTATTTTATTTAGCTTTGACAAAAGAAATGATGTGGGGGTGGTGTTTGGTGCCAATGTAGCTCTGTCTGTCATTGTCAAAGGCAAGTCAGCTTTATACTCTTTATATAGAATCATTTAGAACATATGTTTGCATATGTTTTGATATGCATTTGGTGAACAGTAAATAAATTTCATCTGATGAAGCTTATACCATTTCTTCCAGCAATCAATGGCCTGTTTTTACTAAAAGTGCCATATTGGATCAGATATGTAGTGAATGCAGGGTTAATGGTTATAGGTGAGTACAGAATGCATCTGAAACAATATACATGTATTTCAAAATACATGTAATTTAGATAAAGGGAGTTAGCAATTCAAAATTTGTAGATCAAATTTCCAATATATTTTTGAATTTGTAAACTTTCTGTAATGATCAAATTACTTCATTATTTCATCAATATCCTTATGCTATATATTTCTTTAATTACTTTTATGATTAATTGACATTATCAAGAAATTTTGAATACAAAATAAAAGTTAATGCTGTTAAACGTCTTTATTTTACTTATTTAATCAATAAATTTAGTTGTTAACATCATAATTAAAAAAAAAATAAATTAGCATATGTCCTGAATGCTATTAACACAAGCATTGAGAAATTAAATATTTTAGTTGCTCAAATCTTGTTCTTCCTTGAATTTATTACCCTCTTAATTTCCCTCACTTATGCGTTAGTGAAACACAGATGCCTCCATATGGCTATGGTGAAGGTTAACATGCAAGTTAAACTCTATGGTTTAGGTCAAGAGATCAAAAATATAGTTTTCTAAAATAGGGACTTGTATCATTAAATACATGCATACCTCTGAGGTATGCAGTCCTTTTTGGGTTGGTTAATACTTTTCTTGAACTGACTTTGCACATCTGTATCATATATATTGTATTGGTGGTAAATGATAATTCAACATGATAAAAAAGAAGAAAATAATATGAATTGTTGATATTTTTCAAGAATTAACATTAAAATCAAATATAAAATAAGCACTATAAAATAGTAGTGTTTGTGTTGTTTTATTAATAATAGGATGCCTTTGTTTTCTATTACACTCTATTGTCTTGTTTGAAAACTTGGCAATCCAAATGAGTACAGTAGATAGGAATGCCTTTTAACATTACTTGTAAATCTGTTATCATTGTTATGCATTTATACAATAATACAAAAAACCCAGAGTTATATTCTTCTATTTTTAGGCTTGATTGGAGTTGCCTTTGCTTTTGATTTCTGGTTTGCAATTGTCTGCATTGTAAGTATCTTGTTCAGACTTCTAACATCTTCTAGACCTTTATTTTTCGGACAGTATTAAGGACAACGTCCCGATTCCAACTCCCCGAAGGTTAATTAAATTTTAACTACCAGTCATAACTGATAATTGAGAAACTTTAGTAACATATAAGTATGACTCTGTATTAATGTAATAAGAGGGTAATATGTTGTGTGGTGTAAAAGTTGTTGATATTCTATCATACATCACGGAAGACGCTCTCATTTCTCAAACTAGGTTTCAAAAATTTTCCATGATTTCTTGAGCAGTTGTTCGTCTCTCGTAGAACTCTGGTGCGTCTAAAGTAAGCCCGACTGGTCTCATGATGATTTTTCGGATATGTTACACTTAATACTAGTATATTGAAAACATATTCCGTTCTTTATAAATTCTTTGAGAAATGATTTAGGAGGTCTAGGAAATCTTTAGGTAATGTTTCTGTCCTCCTTCTTCGATCCCTGAGAGACTTTCGATCGTTGATAGACTTTTTTCCCAAGTCAAAAATTTGGAAAGACGATGAAGAATGTGGAGGCCAGAGGGAGATCCCCTTTGGCGGATATGACGAATGATTTTAGAGCATTGAAAAATTAGAATGTTTCTCATTATTTTTTTTAACAATTGCTCAGTCATCATCATGATCTCTCAGTGATCTCTAAGAGGTCTCCACAATCTCTATGGTGTCCAGAGTTTTGACCCTACCGAAACAAGTCTTCAGCCATCACTGATAGACGTATAAGTCTTACTCAAAGATAGGTGAAAGATCTCCCAATAATCTCTTGGATCTCCCAGGTGATCTTTTAGAGGTTTCAAAGAATGCAAAATGGACGCCTAAATCTGGAGACATCTTTGAGATCGTTGCGAGATCACTCGGAGATCATCTCAGGCTACTGGATGCATTGGAACTTAATTAATCTACCTGAGAGGTATTAACAGGTGCGATCTCGAGATTGATCTGTAAAATCCTCAGTACTTCATCCAAAAAGAAACCCTATTACATCTCCTTCTGGAAAACATTGAAACAGAAACTGACTTTAAAACTTTTTAAAGTCGCCGAAAGTTCGTGTTATATTTAAATTAACCAAAGGGTCTCTCAATGATCTACTTGTGCTATAAGGGCCTTTACGTCTATAGTCACATTAGAAAAGGGATAAAAGTGTTGTTTTATAGATGTTTTGTGTATGATTGTGTAGAATTGTTTTTTTTTTACAATATTACATGTAGTGGTTTGTGTATAATTGTGTTCAAATAAACTGCTAGCCTAATGATTATTTTACCTGATCTATGTCTATTATATTTTGAAACATGTGCATACATGTATATATTTTTAAAATGTACTGGTAGTTTGTTTTTTTTTTTCTTTTATTAGGTAGTGGTGGGTTCCTCAGCAGCCTTTGGTGAAAAGTAAGTATAAAGACATTATTGCAAATCTTTGTATCTCATCATAAATTATATAAGTTGATAAAACTACCTTTTACTCTAATGAATTTTATATAGCTGATTTTATGCTTTAAAAATTGTACTCTTTGAGCTTCAAGTGAAATAAAATATATTATCCGTGTGTAATTGATAACCAAGTTTTTGTTCGTTAATTAGGTAGATAAAAATATGCAGATATGCATATGCTTATCAAAGTTCAGTAGTTGCAATAATTTTTTTAGTTTTATCTTTACTTTTTATATTTAGGACAATAATGTGTTTTGATAACCAACCTAGTTCATTGATTGTACGGGGAAAAATAATAGATATACAAGTTATTGACAGAAGATTAAAAAAAATACGGATAATTTAATTTTACTTCCTTTTAATGGACAGTTGCGTAACCGTCATTTGCCAAATGATTTATTTATAAAGTGAATGGAATAGAGGGAATATGTTAATTTGATGGAAGTATGTTACCTAAGATAAAAAAAACCAGAAGAAATTCCGATCAATCTAAACAAGATGTTCCTCTTTTAAATCTATTATAAATCAATTTGATAATATTCGCATATATTGAGGACTAATAAATTTAAATTTAAGACAGCATACACTTTAGTTATTAAAATATATTACATGGAATGTGAATTTAACGAACAGGATCAGAAGTCCATTCAAACAATACAAGCAGGGAGCAGAGCAAACAGGATTCTGTAAAAACAACATCAGAAGTGGGATCAGGTGCCATGGAGGACTGATCATCCGCTGTCGGTCAAACCCGCCGTTTGCTTCTTGTCATAATCGAGGAAACGGTATAAAGGCTAAATAATTCGTATCATAAATGTCAATGAACATGCATTCGACTTAATAATAGATTGTATTTGTCAACAAGATCAGTGTATCTGCCAAAAATACTTGCGAAATGAAGACTTTAAAGGAGAGTGCTGATATCCCTATTTCATCAATATGAAAATTAAAACAAGTAATTATGATTGACTTTATTTTTGTAGCGTAGCCCTGGGATATTTACGTCTTTTTCCCAGTAAAAGTGTTAATGCCTGGTCCAGTGGGACAGGCATGGCGGGAATATTAGGTTCTGCTATTTACATTATCTTTGGTAAGACTTTACATTTAAAGTCAATTGATTTCTCACATGTGATAAGTTTGTGAAAATCTATTTCCATATTCGAAAATGATATAAAATGTGGATTTGTTATTTATTGATATATTTGTCTTATTTTTGTTATTATCAAAATAAGAATTAAAAACAAAGAACGTTCATGTACGAGGAGTGTTAGAAAAGTTCGCGGACAAGTTCTATTGTGAGCGCGTTATTTCCACGAAACCGGTCAAACTTTCCAAATAAAATCTTAACCTAAATTCCAATAAATATACAAAAATTTGGTGCTCTCCGGTGATCATTGAAAATATACAGCTTTTTTATTTTGATAAAACTTGCTTCACGAGCATGCTACATTTTGGCACGTTTACATCTCAAAGACTCTTTTTAATATAAAATTGCACAATTGTAGTGCAAAGAGATTTATATTTTACCTGTCGCTAAAGTATTTATGAAACGTCACTGGGTGAAATTTTGAATTAAATTGTAGGGTATATAACTGTTTTGTAGCCATTTATTAATGATCAACGCGTAAAAACACGGCCAAAAATCGGAACGTCATGGAGCACTGCACTAGGTAAAATTATGTGTGCAGGCAGGAAAATGTCTAAAAAGATATTAAAATGTTCAGGATGCTGCTGAAAATTTCCTATACATACAAAGTACAATAGCTTTCAAATGGTTGTAGCTTTATAAGAATGGAAGGATTAACATTTTGAATGATTAACTCCATCGATACTTCAATAACCCATTATCGCATGGACCTCGTGCCTATATGGTTTTGCATAGTTTCCATACCTGATCGATTAACTGCATAGACTTTTTCAAAGATCTCAGTAATATCCGAATCAGTACAAAAGACATTATAGTAGAATAGTAACATGTCTTGATACAAATATTCAATTTTAAAGTAGAAAAAATATAAGAAAAATCTGAAGAAATGAAAGATTTATAGAACTGCGATAAAGCTTAATTGGTTGAAATCTGTTTGTCACGTCGCTTTACGTCAAGTGATTGCTCCGTGAATCACATGACCTAATAGTAAAAATCTTCGTAATTTTTCAAGATTTTATTAAATGAACCTGATTTTTTACATACTAATAAACAAAATGTAGGAAATTATTCCGACATGGGTCATACTTCACAGTACACAATAGATTTTCCGTAATTCAATGTGTCCGCGAACTTTTCTAACAACCCTCGTATATACGTATAAGAAAAATAAATTATCATAAATGAATATTTTATTTTATTTATTCAAGGTTGTTCGATAGGAGAAAGCAATAAAACTTCACAATTGAAAACATTAACAAAGTAAGTAATAATTACTCCCAGTAATTATAAGTTTTTATCTCAGCTGAGATGGGAGAAGTTATAGTGAGTTAACACTGTATTTGTTACCTGACTAGGTACGCCTTCCTATTGACGTTACCATTTGTAGCCGTGTATCTCATCGCGTATTTCTTCATCATCAAAGCTCCTAAAGAAGACGACACTATTCACCGAAGAAATGTTCAAGACCGTTTAGATGAAGAAAAGAAGCCAATTTTGCAAGATTCGGATTCTGGTATGGTGAATATATAGAGTCTTTTTATTTTCGTTTTATACCGGTATATTGCACAGATGACCTAGACGTAAATAGACGTAAATGAAAAGTTATACTGAAATACTGTATGTATATGAACATGTATATATTGCACACTCTCCTTTATCTAATATTTTAACTTACAGAAAGCACAGTAATCCGTGTCCCAAAGGAATCCCTCTGTAGAAGACTTCAGAGATGCTGGGGACTTGTCTGGTGGTTGTCTGTAAATGTGAGTGTTGGCAAAGTCATATACATGTGGTTATTGTTTATTGAAAAATACTGTAGATAAAGATTTTCAGAAGTCATTTTTTAAATTTTAAACTTGTAAGCTGTTAGCTTATTTTTATGCTGTTAGCTATTTTAAATGGAGAAAATTATTTTATTACACTATGGTACAACCATGGAACTAGTTGACCGCAAATACTATGGCTGTAACATCAAGATATTTTTATATCTATTCAAATACAATATTTCATAATTCTGTCTTTCAGACCTGTTCTATATGTTGTGTTATATTTCTTATGTCAGTTATGTGCAGTCTATTTGTTTGAGTATGTTGCACAAGGTTGTGCTGCAAAAGTACGACCGAAATCCGAATATAACAAAGGATGCCCAGAACTTTTTGCCGCCCTCTCGTTTTGCTATCAAGTAAGTAACAAATATTATTTATTAAATGCACACAAATACATTTATTTACTTATTTGCAGATTTGTCAAAAATTAAACTTCTTCACAATATTAAATTTTAACCATTCTTATTTTCAGTCAGGGGTATTTGTGTCCAGGTCATCTGTGCAATTATTTCAAATCAGAAGAGTGGAAATACTTTCATTTTTACAACTTCTTAATATGATTTTATGGATAATTGATGTTCATGTAAGTATGATGCATTCTGAATAAGAAACCAAAGTCAAAATGTTTTTATAGAACATTATATATGACTAGATGTTTGCAACTTGCAGTATAAATTCATACCCGTCTATCTTTTACCGGCGTTGATGATCTATGTGGGCCTTTTGGGTGGGGCCTCCTATGTCAACATATTTTATCTACTGCTGCATGAGGATAAATACCCAGAAGAAGACAGGGAATTCTGTATAAACATTACATCACTCTTCATTACTGGAGGTAAAAATTAATCATTTTACGAATAGTGTAATCAAGTCATGACGTTATTCATTTAGATATGATGCAACAGAAAGTAAGGAAATTTCACTTCATGTTGAAATCTTATGGGACCAAACATTTTTCATCATCTGAAAAAATTGTTCATCATAATTTATATTTCATTTCTTTTTTGTTTAAACAGGGATAGTTTTAGGAACCGGATTAGAAACTGCTCTTTTCAACACTGTGCTGAAAAGTGATTAGCAAAGATCAGACTTTTTTTTCTCCAATATGACTTTGGACATAAAGCAAATTCTATAGATTTGACATTTGTGTACACAATGTGGTGCTATTGAAACAATACTCATCCTTCATTTCATAAAATTATTTTTCAAGTTAAATTTCATTTACTTTTAATAGAATTGAGATTTTTATACATAGTTATATTTTTTTCTTGTATCAATAACTTTCAGTAGTTTTTTTAAAAAATACTTAAACCATGCTATATGTGCCAATGTTTGTAATCTACATGTATTTTTAAAACATTTTTAAAAACTTGTTACATGTTGTTTGTTAATTTATCATAAATAACTTATTTTTATTTGCGAACTGGTCATATTTTTTAAAAATTGTTCTTGATAAATAATTAAATCTATGAGAGTTCAAGTGGGAGACTTAATCCTTACATACTTGATAATAAATTGAACATTTTAAGACAGTAAGTAGAGTTGTCATTCCTTGGTCATTTGTGAAGCCATTGTTTTGTTCCCAAGTATGGTGATCTTAGTCGATGTAAAAATTGATGCAATCGTAATACTATATTGATAAAGCTATTTTTCTGCAATCTTTGTTTTTTCTTCCCCTTGTCATCAACCAGTGATTATCTCTCCCTCTTCCACTATTCTAGGCTTCCATTGTCTCCTTCTTTGTTCTACGGACCGAGTCTTGTTTTCTCTCATTTGTTTCTTTCTTTCCGTTGATGAACATGTGGGTTCTACATTGAAGTTTCGTTAGCTGTACATGTATTTCTGTTTGACATTTGTTATATTTGAGTCCTAACTTCTGGATATTAACTCCAGTCTTTATACAAGTTATAAAATCATGAAACTGCATGCTTCGTTTATTTCTTTTTACATACATGCAATAAAATTTGAGATGTTTTTTTAAGACAGAAAAACTAATATCAATATTATTGTACTGTTTTATTTACCCATGTTCCTGCATGTGAAAAATGTAAGTTTGATATGGGAAAGAAGGTCATTTACTGAGATTAAGTAATTAAATCGAGCACAAATTAAAAAAATATGTGATAAACCTCACAAAATGCAAAAAAAAAATATATCGATCATATACTGATTATGAAGATAAGATGATGTTTCGGTAAACTTAAGCAGCTGTTTAAATCCGATACGTTGCTTTGTTTACTGGTGATGTTCCCGAACAATTACTTGAATTGATCCATATCTAAAAATTTACATTTGTTTACCAAAAAAATCAATCTGCTTGAAACTTATTAAATGTTGATAAACAAATAATGAAACATTATACATTAAAAAACAATGTTTTCTTTTTCTTAATTCCCTTTTCCCTATTATTTTGATTGTTTATTTTTGTTTAATTTTTAATAGTTTACTTTTGTGATGGTTCTGTTCTGTGTACATGTAATACACAAGTGGTGTTTATGGAATCACATTGTCTTATTAAAATTAATAATCAACGAAGACAGCGTAACTATGTTCTGGTTAAAGCCACTTCAAATATTAACTTTAAATGCACTTTAAACTCATGATCAAATCATGCTTTCTATTGCTCTATTGATTTACAAAAACAAATAGTTAGAGTGTAAAATATTATCTGAATATCATCAATCATTCTTTGAAAACAAATTTTTATTGTGATAATTTTTTTATATTAAATTTTAGTACTGAAAATATAATAAAAGTACATTAAATTATGAAATCTGAAACATCGATCAAAAGGAAAACAAATATCCCGAGCTTTAATTCAGGTACAATTAATGCTGATAGTCCTCTCTCATCTCCGAAGGTCTGATCGAGGTGGTCCCAGCAGAACAATCAATTGGGACTTCGTAGACGGAGCTTTGTTAATCAGATAACGTTTCACCCACATCAATTATTCATCAGATTTAGATGTATTTGACACGGGATGAGATCTATATCATGGAAGAGCCCATACTGTCAAAGATCGTAAATCCTTGAAGTTGTCATTTGGACAAGGGTTGATACCAAAAGCTAATTGTAACCGATACAAAATGATAATACATTCTCTTATGTTCAAATGTTTTACATGGGGGAAATAGAAGATTGTTTTTCGATTGTTTATAATGCAAGGAATCCATGTCTCTTTGCTCCCAGCTTCCATGTATGCCTTTGAGCTCCCTACATTTTTTAAAATTAAAATAACTTGAGCATGTAATACACATGCTTTTAATTACATATTTTTCTTATTTAGATAAATAACCCAATATTATTTTGTTTATGGTAATTATTTTTTTTGTAAGAAAAATATGTATTGTCAAGTGTCTGTGATGCAATAATGTCATACATTTCAAAACGGAAACGAATGCATGCTTCTGCTAATCTGCTTCGATAGGAGAAAACGTGTTAAAAAAAATATATTTACAAAAATGATCAGTACATTTGACTTCATTCGTAATTTCTCTTTTTGAAACATGAAAAAAAAATTATTAATTGTACACAACGTCAATTTTAAAATTTCTCGCTCGAAATAGCTAAAATATATACCCAATAGTTTTTCGATCTTCTTTCACAAGCTGATATTTCTCGCCATGAACTAATCATTTAAATGTACATTGTTAAATGTTTTATCTCAGTCCTGGATGGATTTCAAATTAAGGTATCACGAACAAAAGTTATTGCAAAGAAAGGTTGGTTTAGGTTAAATACAGAGTTGTAGGGATCTCAATCTAGTTTACTTAAGGAGGATGATAAAGCCTTGACTAGGCCTTATTGAGTATCTGACGAAGCAATGGTATAAAGCATAGTCTGATGAATTACTGGGCTTTGTTACATCCGCATCTTGCTGTATCAACAACCTCTCTCATTTCTTTTATTGGGTGTGTTAAACTTAAAGCTCCTTTGCAGCTAAAAATGGGGCAGGTATGAGTCTGAGACTCAATCATCACTCGAAATACTAAGATAACGAACAGATGTGCCCAAAAATCCACTGAAACTTAACAAATTGTGATAAGAGCAAATACGAACCTTTAGACATAGAAGTGGGATCAGGTGCCATAACAGGAGTAAGCATCCCCTGTCAACTGGACAAACCAGCATTGTGCTCTTTGTCATGATTGGGTAAACAGAGAAATCCTGGTGATTCAAGAATATTTGCAGTCTCGTTTAAAGTCATCATTTCGTAAGTTCTATGGTCTATAACCTTGTCAGCGAGTACAATTTATCATTGAGACAAATAACGTCTTTCATTCTAATTGTTAGTCCATTGTTTGTACACTGAATTGACGACAGATTTTTTTTCCGTTATTAACCGATCATGACAAGGAACATAGGGCGGATGTGACTGGTCGGTAGGGGATGCTTACTCCTAATGGCACCTGACTCCACCTCTGATGTTTTGGAAGTCCATGTTTTCTCTGCTCCTATTTGGTATTGTTTAATGGACTTTTGAGCTTGAATGCTGCTCGTTAGCTCCATATATTTTATGCTAAACATTTTATGTGGAAAGATTTTGTAACTCTCATACATTTTGGCAGCTAGATTACCACTTTCCCTGTCATTAGCACTCTCAGAAGTTTCTGAATATATATCTTTCGCTTTTTGCCAAACATATCACTAATGCTTAATCTATCGAATGTTTTAAGTGGTATGGGTAGCAATTTATACGTGGACCTAGTCCTGTTTTAGTCATTTAACTAAGTAACCGATTAACTGTCAGGGGATACGCTGTTCTTTGTGTTAAATAAGATTGGACTGAACTTATCGGAGTTATTAAATAATTCATGAATTTATATTAAAATATAGTATCCGCTTGCGACAAAATTACTATTCATCAGAAAGTTAAGGCAACGTTTTGAAGATAATTGATTGCTAGTTATGTTTCGGATTATGTAAACAATCCAGTATTTGAATATACAAATGGTCGAAAATCAAAAGGTGATTTCCATACAGTATTAGAGCAGACTTGTAAAGCAAATCTAATATTAAAACATATTGTAACGAAACCGAGGGTATCGTGTTATAATTAACTCGTGGGCCGCTATTGGTTTTCTGGTCACTTGGTTGAGGTTTGATACTTCCGTTGGTCACAGTTTATATAATGGTTAATGACCAATTTTTGGTCACTTAATTGGTTAACAGAATGACCAACTTTTGGTCACTTCTTTGGTTGACGTAATGACCAACTTTTGGTCACTTAATAGGTTGACGTAATGACCAAATTTTGGTCACTTTAAACAATGTTTCTTAGGAATAACACTTGTTAAAAGTTGATAACATTTATTAAGACGATCAAATGGTTCACTTATAAACACACAAAATGGTACACTGTAACTTGGTTGGTACAACGTTATTTGGTTAACAAAAAGGTGACCAACCGATGGTCAATCCAGGACGTTCCTAATAACTTGGTTCCCTTTAATGGTTTCGTATACATAGACTTGGTACCGTCTTATAACCGAAGTATACGGAGTCGTTCCCCAAAGTGACTTAGCTCACTTTTCCCTTACCAGGGAAGGCTGTGTGCTCCGAGTCGTTCCCCACAGCCGACTGAAGTCTAAACCCAAAACAGCTGGTTTATATACCCAAAAGTTGTTATGATGACGTAAGAGACAATCAAATACCTAAATTACGTCACAATCAATACAATCAATAAGTTAGCGAGTTTTAACCAACAAAATTACCTACTAAATTAATAACGTTGTACCCATATAAAACATACAAAATACATCACTTTCTCATTAAATTATACATGTTAAATTAATAAAGTCATATTAAATCAATTAGTGTTCATTTCTTTCGTTAACTGTTCATTGACAAATATGTACGTAGTTTATAAACATCGGGTTCAGGGTCCATTTATTTCGAACTTGTAAACAAGAGTTAACCCGAATTTCACAGGTACACTTCGTGAAACGTAACATTACCCCCTTCTTAAGTCGAAACGTCCTCGTTTCGGGGTATTTTATCAATAACTTATACAAGTCCACTGGTAATGTCTTTCAAGATACGCGTTACACGGATAAAATGTCATCTGCTTCACCACGAAACAGCTTCATCTGGTCATGATGCACATATTTTGGTTTCTCTGCTGCAGACCTCCTCACTTTGAATACCGAATCGGACACGGCGCGTAACACTGTGTAAGGTCCATTCCAATGAACCTTAAGTTTAGGACATCTTCCTTTGGTCCATGACTTTGACGCAATCCACACACATTGTCCTGGGGTGTACTTAATCTGGTTTGACTTGGTGCCATACTTTCGTTTCTGGTTATCGGTTGCTTCTATCCATCGGGTGCAATAATC